CAAAGTTTGGAAATCCCTATCACTCACTCACTGAATGAACCCAATGTGTAGCTCTCATTTGTATTTTAACAGAAATTCCTGGTCTCCACCCAAGTCTCCTAATCAGCATCTCTGGGGTAAGGGAGCACTGACATGTTTATTTAAGAAGCTCCATCAGTGATATTAATGCCCAGACAAAGCAGCAAACCACTGCTTAAGAACTTAGGAGAATACACATGAAATAGATGAAGTGTGCCTTTGTCCGTGGTTCTCAAACATTAGTCTGCATCAAAATCTGCTGGGGGACTTATTAAAATGCAGATTGCTGGGCCCACCCCCACAGTTTTTGATTCAATAGTTCCGGAGTTGGACCCAACAATTTGCACTCAAGTTCGCCTCCCAGGTAATGGTGCCACTGCTCGTCTGGGGGGACTGCACTTTGGGAACACCTGATCTAAAAGGAAGCCCAAGCTAAGCACATTACAGCTCCATATTAACGAGGAAGTTCTAATTCATGCTAGTTTGTACAGATAAAAAGCTACTCCTAGTTTAAATACAAGGAGTAAGCATACTCCCCTTTCCAGAGTTAACCTTTGCACTGAAACCGTATGTGGTTCAAAGGATGAATGTACTAACATATATCACACTTTAACAAGCAGGACGTGTGCGGGCAGCAGGAGGGTAAGGCAGATTGCTGGATGTCGAGTACAGGCTGCAGGCCTTTTCCCGCGACGTAGCTGAGATTAGGGACTTCACACGGCAGAACGGTATAAGCACGACCACTACCACGACTCGGGTTCTACTGGCAGCTTTGTCACTAACTTCTCTGGTGACCTTGGGCGAGTAAGTCACCTATTAAGGCCTGTTTCCTATTTGGTGGGTAATCTCGGACATCCCTCCGACAACGACGCCAGGGAGCACCGCTGTCCAAGGACCTGCCTGCCCTGCACCTCCGCCCCTCCCAGTGGGCAGCGCCGGCCCTACCTGGCAATAGAGCCGATAAAGGGGCACGGCGGCGTAGGACGCCCCCAGCATGCCCACGGCGGCCGCGGCCACGTACGTGAGGACCGTCCTGTTCCGCCGCCGCCAGTCCTCCTCCTGCGAGCGCGTGAAGGGGTTCGTGCTCTTCGGCCGC